GTCTCACTGCAACCTCCACCACCTCCCAAGTTTAAGCAATTCTCCTGCCTCAGCCTCCTGAGTAGCTGGGTTTTCACCATGTTGGGCAGGCTGGTCTTGAACTCCTGACCTCAAGTGATTTGCCTGCCTTGGCCTCCTGAAGTGCTAGGACTACAGGCATGAGCCACCACGCCCAGCCAGAAACTATTCTATATGATACTGTAATTGTGGATACATGACCCGATGCATTTGCCAATAATCATAGAACTATTTCATAGCATATAGAATGAACCTTAATGTATGCATATTAAAAGAAATCATTTAAGAGTCAGAGGATCCTGGCTGGAACACAAAATGTGACAAAATAATCAAACTGTATTATAATGTATGAAACAACCTCACTAAAGAAGGTGTAGAAAAAGGTACTTATTTGGGAATGAGTGGAATCTGTAAGACTAAAGGCAAAAGAAAATATACATATGCGCTGTACTCTAGTTAATAAAGTTGTTTCTCATGGGAAAGTAGGTTAACAATTCTGATACTGTTATACATGTACACTGCAATTAAATAATTAAGTAAATGTTTGGTATATGGTGGGAACCAAGTATCTTATTGTTGGAGTGGGAGTTTATAAGTAAAGGGAGGAGGGTAGAATGATTCATCTAGTAATGGATTAGAGTTGAGGCACCACATAGGTATTAATTCACATTTAGCTTAATACAGATACAGATGGTTACATACAGAAATATTTATAGGTATGTGTATATAGATGTGCTAGTAAACATATGTGTACAGTTGGCCCTCCATATCCATGAGTGCTACATCTGTGAATTCCACCAACTAGGAATCAGAAAAAAAATGGAAGGTTACATCTCTAATGAACACCTACAAATGTTTTTTCTTGTCATTATTCCCTAAACAAAACAGAATACCAACTATTTACATAGCATTTACATTGCATTACGTATTCGAAATAATCTAGAAATGATCTGAAGTATATGGGTGGGGGTGGAGCACCGTGGCTCACACCTGTAATCCCAGCACTTTAGAAGGCCAAGGCAGACAGATTGCTTGAGCCCAGGAGTTCAAGACCAGCCTGGGCAACATGGCGAAACCCAATCTTTACTAAAAGTCAAACAAATTAGCTGAGTGTGGTGGTGAGCCCCTGGGAGGCGGAGGTTGCAGTGAGCCGAGATTGCGCCACTGCACTCTAGCCTGGGTGACAGAGTGAGACTCTGTCTCAGAAAAAAAAAAAAAAAAAATAGAATAGTTTCACCACCCTAAAAAATATCCCATCCTTCACCTATTCAATCTTCTTCTACCTCCCCTCAATCCGCTTGCAACCACTGATCTTTTTACTATTGCTATAATATTGCCTTTTCCAGAATGTCATATAACTAGAATCACACAGTATGTAGCCTTTTCAGACTGGCTTATTTCACTTAGCAATATGCATTTAAATGTCATACATGTCTTTTTGTGGCTCAAGAACTCATTTCCTGGATTAAGAAAATGTGGCACATATACACCATGGAATACTATGCAGCCATAAAAAAGGATGAGTTTGTGTCCTTTGTAGGGACATGGATGCAGCTGGAAACCATCATTCTTAGCAAACTATCACAAGAACAGAAAACCAAACACCGCATGTTCTCACTCATAGGTGGGAACTGAACAATGAGATCACTTGGACTCAGGAAGGGGAACATCACACACCGGGGCCTATCATGGGGAGGGGGGAGGGGGGAGGGACTGCATTGGGAGTTATACCTGATGTAAATGACGAGTTGATGGGTGCAGCACAGCAACATGGCACAAGTATACATATGTAACAAACCTGCACGTTATGCACATGTACCCTACAACTTAAAGTATAATAATAAAAAATAAATTTAAAAAAAAAAAAAAAGAGAACTCATTTCCTTTTATTGCTGAATAATATTCCATTGTATGGATGTACCACAGTTTGTTTATTCATTTAACTATTGAAAGATATCTTGGTTGCTTCTAGTTTTTGGAGTTAGGAATAAAATTGTTATAAACATTTGGGTGTAGGTCAGGCATGGTGGTTCATGCCTGTAATCTGTAATCCCAACACTTTGGGAAGCTGAGGCAGGGGGATCCATTGAGGCCAGGAGTTAAAGACCAGCTTGGGAAAAATAGTGAGACCTTGTCTCTACTAAATTTTTGTGTGTGTGTGTGTGTGTGTGTGTGTGTGTGTGGCAGTTTCACTCTTGTTGCCCAGGCTGGAGTGCAATGGCGCGATCTCAGTTCACTGCAACCTCCACCTCGCAGGTTCAAGCGATTCTCTGCCTCAGACTCCCGAGTAGCTGGGATTACAGGCATGCACCACCACTCCCAGCTAATTTTGTATATTTAATAGAGAAGGGGTTTCTCCATGTTGGTCAGGCTGGTTCTTGAAATCCTGACCTCAGGTAATCCGCCTGCCTCGCGCCTCCCAAAGTACTGGGATTACAGCATGAGCCACCACACCCAGCCTCTACTAAAATTTTTTTAAATTAGCTGGACTTTTTGGCATTTGGCATTTAAAAAAAAAATTTTTTTTAATTACATGGGAGGCTGAGGTGAGAGGATTGCTTGAGTCCAGAATGTTATATAATTATGTGTGTATTATACATGTGTGTATATATGTTTGTGTATATATACTGTGTGTGTTGTATATGTGTGTTGTGTGCTGTGTGTGTGTATATATATATATATATATTTTTTTTAGACAGAGTCTTGCTCTGTCACCCAGGCTGGAGTTCAGTGGTACAATCTTGGCTTACTGCAACCTCTACCTCCTGGGTTCAAGCAAATCTCCTTCCTCAGCCTCCTGAGTGGCTGGAATTCAGGTGCACCCCACCATGCCAGGCTAATTTTTTTGTATTTTTGGTAGAGATGGGGTTTCACCATGTTGGTCAGGCTGGTCTTGAACTCCTGACCTTGTGATCCGCCTGCCTCGGCCTCCCAAAGTGCTGGGATTACAGGCATGAGCCACCGCGCCGAGCCCTCACAAGTAATATTTCAAAGGTAGTTTTCTGAGTTTTATTTCCATGATAATTATGTCTGCTGTGGGGAAGACTTATACTTTCAAAGAATTTTAATATTTAAATCAATGGGAAGAGAAAACCAGGCAGTGGGATGGGTGTGCCATATCTAAATCACATTATGCTAGTTTGTTTTGCAATGGTGTTTTCATTTTTTCTCAGGTATGCCAGCCATATAATTATTATTAATGATATGTTACATTTTTATCCTCTAAAATTATGTCACTCATTTGCCAAACATTTACTGAGTGCTTGTGCAAGAGAAAGGAAGGGAAAGTGACATTCATTTTTCTATTTGACACATATTTATTGAGCCTATCTTGCAAAGAGCACTTTGCAAGAAGACTGGGATACAACTTTAGATAAAATCTATATGGTCTCTGTCCTCAGGGAGTTTACAATCTCATGAAAGAGCGAATCTTTAAACAGTTACACAAATTACTCTACTTAAATTCTATGAAGGAAAGGAATGTTATGAGATGTGTCATTATAGAAGTAACTTTCAATATTTTTCTCACCTAATTATCACAATCACTGATGTAGTTTACAAATGAGGAAAATGAGGCTGAGACTGAACTACATGCCAAGGGCCCGAGAGCAAGTAAATCCTTGCAAGTAAAAAACAGAATGTCTAATTTAAGTCTATGTCATTCTAAAGATCATGCTTGAAAACACTGTATTATAGCCTAAATTTCATGAAACTGTGAGGGCAGACCTTAATTTGATTTTATTAATAAGAAAACTGGTGCTGAGAGGAACTAGAACTAAAATCTCTTGAACAATCCCCTTATTTTTCTATTATGTTATAAGCTTCCTCAAAACTTGTATGGTTTGTAAGTTTGATGATACAAACAAACCATACATGGAGAAACTGAATAAATTTTTTGTACTTTAAAAAATATAGGATTGTTGTTGAAACAAGCTACCATTAAGCAAAGTACTATATTTTAACATAATTCTGGCAAATGCCTTACATCTCTCTTCTTTGCTGATTTTGTTACTTTTCTGTTAATCGCATATTTCATTGGACAAGTCTATTGCTATGGGTGAGAATAAAGAAGGAAACAGTTCTTCAAACAAGCAAACTCACTCTTCATCAAATTATTTTGTGGAGGAAAGTTTCCTGATCGGGGCAGTGGCCTCACGCCTGTAATCCCAGCAGTTTGGGAGGCTGAGGCGGGCGGATCACTAGAGTCTAGGAGTTTTAGACCAGTTTGGGCAACATGGCGAAACCCTGTCTCTACAAAAAACACAAAAATTAGCTGGATGTGGTGGTGCACGCCTGTGGTCCCAGCTACTCGGTAGGCTGAGGTGGGAGCATCACCTGAGCCTGGGAGGCTGAGGCTTCAGTGTGCCAAGATCGCACCACTGCACTTCAGCCTGGGCGACAGAGACCCTGTCTGGAAAGAAAAAGAAAAAAAAAAAAAAGGTACCAATAAAAATTTCAATTTATGTCATTCAGAATTTCACGGATTTTTTTCAGCTATTGCAGATTCTTCAGATGACTCCATCAATGCAATAAGAATCTTGAATTTTTCTTTGCAGAGGAAAAACTGACAACATATTCATCTTTATGTGGGGTGCAGATAGGGAAAAGATTTTTAAAAGCACAATAAAAAAAGGAAAGCAAGATTACTTTTATTTTAAAAACCTAGATAGCTCTGCTTAAGCCTTTCTGTTGTCAAGTCGTTTGCGGCAAAAAACAGGGATATGATATAGCAAACAGAAAAAATATGAAAAAAATCACATACATAGTGCAGGAAATATTATTAGTAATAGATTTAGGACAGAATAAATTGCCCAACTGTAGCTTCGTTTATCTTTCTGCTAGAGGATCTGGTGGCCACAACAACTTATGCACATTTTCAAAGATAAATCATGGACATATTTAATAAAGATTACTTCTCTTTTCTTATTACTATCATTTTGCTTACAATGGAGCACGCAGTAACTACCTTCCTTGCCTTTCTTGAGATTCTCCTTTGGCTGCTTACACAGGAAACCAAGGCGGGGAGTGCCACGGGTGATCTCATGCTGGCATGACGTCAAGAACCCTTGACGTCAGAAGGCGGTTGCCACGGACACCGTTCGCCACCGACGGCAGAGTCGTGAAACCCCATCACTACCACACTCGTCTCCGTTTCGGCCTCTGCAGGGTGTAAGCTGCTAAAGAAGCTTCAACCTTAAGGGGGCCTCAGGGAGAGAGTTGTACTGCTGCCGCCGAGAGCTCCACCTCCGTGGCTCTGGGTCCGGGGCCCCGGCCTGTGGCGGCGAGCGGCGGCCGCTGGAGACGAGCGGCGGCTGCAGGCGGCCCGCCCGGGTCTATCTCGCTCCGTGCAGGGCCGGGAGAGGGATCCGCCATATTGGAGCCGGGGCCGGAGGTGCCTTGGAGCCGCGGCGCGAGGCTGGTGGAGGTGGCGGCCCTGGTCTGGATCGGGGAGGAGTCGGCTCTGCCCTGGCCCGCAAGGCTGGGGAGCTAATGAGGCGCTTCGGCTAGTCTCCTCCCCGCCCACTCCCTCCACTTTCTGCCGCCGGGACCCGGCTGGGAGCCGGCTGTGGCAGTGGTAGTGGCAGCGGCAGCGGCAGGATGTTCTCCAAGAAGCCGCACGGGGACGTGAAGAAGTCCACCCAGAAGGTGCTGGACACCAAGAAGGACGCACTGACTCGCCTCAAGCACCTGCGCATCGTCATCGGTGAGGAGCAAGGGGTGGCAGCGCCGAGGCCTGGGTTGCCCGGCCTTCCCTTTCCTGGGATCCCCTGCGGACTCTCCCTCGGGACCTGGCGCGGTGCAGGAGAGGGCAAATCGTAGCCTCTGCGGAGACGCGGGAGGGTGAATAATTCGGAGAAGCGAAAACTTGGCAGTTGGCAGCACTAATTACGGTTAACGCAGGAATATCTAATTTTGAGTTAATAGTCTGAATTCATTTTTTAAAATTGGTATTACTGTAAAAACTTAGATCTTTCAGACTTTGCGGGGAGACCTGGCATTGTGGATAATGGTGTTTATAGGATATGTTTGCCAGATGACTACTGCCAACCCCACCCAAGTAAAAAGAAAAATAAAATCCTTTCTCAGACAATATAAACCTTAATCTTTCAAGTTTCTTGGCAGATGAAGACAAGGAGGAAGCAGTCACACCTCTTTGGGAAGTGGGTGGTTCCCAAAAAGCTGTGGGAAGGAGCCCCGCCCTTTTGTTAATGCACCTTGTTCATCACTAGTCATTTAGAGGGAGAACTATTATAGGTAGTTTATCTCATCCTTTGCTTCTCGAGAATTGTATATAATTCTATTTTTATTTAATTAAAAAAAATTTTTTTGTACTGTCGTCTGCCCTTAAGTTCTGTTTTGCTGGTAGACCAAACAGTGCTCTAAGTTTTGAATATAATGTTAATCGACTCTTTTGAATACTTAGTCATTTGGTAGGCTGGTAAGGGTTGTTATAATACTTATGGAACTTCTGGTCCAATAAATGGATTTTTTAGATGAAGACATTTGAGATGAAAAGGAAAGTTTTGCCTGTGTTGATACGTAGAGTTAATGGTAGAACTGGCTGAAGAAGATGCATTCATCCAGATGCCCGAATCCTAGTTCAGAGTTTATCTCGAGCTGTCTTCCTGATGCGTATTTGTTTTGGAAAGTGATGTTTATTTAGTGAAAAAAGTAAGTCCCTTATTTGAGGTACATGTTTCTCTAGTCTACTGTTTACTCATACCACCAGGATACCACCAATATTACCCATTTCTATGATGCTTTACTGTTTACAGTGATTTCACGTAAATTATGATAATCCTTGCAGTAACTCTATAGGTAGGTATTATTATTCTCCATTTTTTACAAACAAAAAAGCTGAAGTTTGGAAACATCAAGTAGTCAGCCAGCTACTAGGAGGCTGAGTCAGAACTGGAACCCAGATTTGTGTCTCTAGTTTGTTTTTTTTACTCTTTCTACATTTATGACAGCTAATCTTTGTCACAAGTAAATTGTATTTATTCCAGTGGAGTAGTAAGAAAGCAGTTAATCCAGTTTAGAGCTATAAAAAGCTCAGTTTTCAAGAAAATATAAAGCTTCTAAATATAGTGGAGATTGTGATCTTTTTGTTTTCATTCTACTTGAGAATTAAGCCATTGAAATAAAGATTTAGCTGAGAGTAGGACACAGAAAGTTAATATGTGAATGCAGGAGAGGGACCACAGGTAATGGCAATTTGAAATTGAACACTTAATGGAGCTTGACACCTGCTTGGGATAAGCTGTAGGTTAGGCACAGCTATAAAGTTGAGTTCCAATAAAGTATTGAGATTTCCTAAATTAAGGGCTATACTTTATTTATAGAATGGTTAAGGAATTATTTATATATACTTTTTTGGCATAGAGTTTTTTTCTGTCTGGGAGACATGGAAAATTAAAAGATAAATTAAGAGAGAGGTCACACATACAAGGTATTTTGTAGGACTTAGCTTGCTTGGTTTGAAAATAAAACAAGTCTTTTATTGTTGTCGTTATTTTGTTTGAAATACACTTAATGGAATTTCTAAGAAAACGAATGAGACAAAGTAGAATGACAAAAACTAGTGTCTTTTAGAGGTCTGCCAGTGAGGTATTTGATTTTGCAGATGGAAAAGCCAATTTCAGTCTTTTTTGGAAGAAGGTACAGGTTTTAAATAAGGTAAACACAATGAGGAAACTAGTTTGCAGAGTAATTGAGTATTGCCAGTTACGCAGGCTTTTGATTTTTGTTTGGTCCCATAGTTCATATGGTCCCATAGTTCATATGGGACCAAACAGAACTGCCATTCACTCAGGGTACTTACAGGAGGATTCAGTGCATCCATATGTATGAGAACATAATCATAATTTAAATATCCTTTGTAAACTTTTTTCCTGGCATGTGTTCCCACTGTAGGACAATCCAAGTTAAATTTATAGAACTTGACTCTGAGGATTTAGATTTAAATCTGGTATGTTTATTGATATTATTACATACTTGATTTGTAGAAACTAAAGTCAGGGTTTTCTTAAAACAGAAAAAAAAACCTTGTCTGGTTTCTAAAGCTGTTGTCCTTTCTACCTACCCCCTCTCACCCATTTTACAAGTAATGGTAATGATACTATAAATTAGCACATGTAAATTGGCTAACATAATGTTTGGCATGTAGTGGGTATTGACTAAATGTTAGTTTTGTTTTACTTTAAAGCTAACAGTTCTGTCCTCTTGATGTAAAAATAAAAAGATAAGTGCTTATTTAGCTAAAAATATATTATTTATTGTTAAAGAATTCTGACAGCTTTATTGAGGTATAATTGGCACATAGTCAATTGCACATATTTAAAGTACATAATTGAATAATTTTTACATATGTATATCTCACGAAACCATCATAACAAAGATTTAAAATATCCAATATATAGATAGTGACAATCAGGATAATATATGTATAATCAGCTGGGTGCCGTAGCTCACGCCTGTAATCCCAGTACTTTGGGAGGCTGAGGTGGGCGGATCACGACGTCAGGAATTCAAGACCAGCCTGGCCAACACAGTGAAACCCCGTCTCTATTAAAAATCAGGCATAGTGGCACGCACCTGTAGTCCCAGCTACTTGGGAGGCTGAGGCAGGAGAATTGCGTGAACACCAGAGGCGGAGGTTGTGGTGAGTCAAGATCACGCTACTGCACTCCAGCCTGGGCAACAGAGCGAGACTCTGTCTCAGAAAAAAAAAAAAAAGAAAAAAAATATGTGCGTGTGTATATGCACCACCAGCACCAATCAGTATGGCCAGTATTTATTTATACGTAAGTATGTATAACCTCCCAAAGTTTTCTCATGCCCCTTTGTAATATCTTTCTCCCATCCCAGTTGCACTCTCCCACCTTTCCTGAGCAACCAGTAATCTGCTGTCACCCTAGATTAGTTTGCATTATCTAGGGTTTTATATAAATGGGATTATACAGTATATAAATGGAATTATCCTGTATGGTCATTTTATGTTTGATTTCTTCTGGTTTTTTTTGAGATGGCGTCTCACTCTGTCACCCAGGCGTGATCTTGGCTCACTGCAACCACTGCCTCAGCCTCTTGAGTAGTTGGGATTACAGGCGCCGCGCCACCATGCCAGGCTAATTTTTTTTTTTTTTTTTGTATTTTAGTAGAGACGGGGTTTCACTGTGTTGCCCAGGCTGGTTTTGAACTCCTGAGCTCAGGCAATCCACCTGCCTCAGCCTCCCAAAGTGCTGGGATTACAGGCATGAGCCACCGCGCCCGGCCTTTTTTTTTTTTTATTTCTAGTAGAGATAGGGTTTCACCATGTTGGTCAGGCTGGTCTTGAACTCCTGACCTCATGATCCGCCTGCCTCAGCCTCCCAAAGTGCTGGGATTACAGGCATGAGCCACCGCGCCCGGCCTTTTTTTTTTTTTATTTCTAGTAGAGATAGGGTTTCACCATGTTGGTCAGGCTGGTCTTGAACTCCTGACCTCATGATCCGCCTGCCTCAGCCTCCCAAAGTGCTGGAATTATAGGTGTGAGCCATCGCGCCTGCCATTATTCACAGTTTTAAAATCCATTCACCTGTTGATGGAAATATGGGTTGTTCTTGGCTGTTACAAATAAAGCTGCTGTGAAAGACCTATGCTTTATTTCTCTTGGATAAATACCTAGGATTGAAATGTCCGGATCATATGGCAGTTGTACATTTAGCTTTGTAAGAGATGGTCAAATTGTTTTTCACCATTTTACATACTCACCAGCAGTGATGAGAGTTCCAGTTCCTACACATATGCACCACCAGCACCAATCAGTATGGCCAGTCTTAATTTCAGTCACTCAGCCACTCTTAAGTGTGTACTAGTTATAATTAGTAGTTCCTTGATACCAAATCTCCTTTTTTTTTTTTTTTTTTTTGAGATGGAGTCTTGCCCTGTCTCCCAAGCTGGAGTGCAGTGTGCAGTGGCGAGATCTCAGCTCACCTCACCCTCCACCTCCTGGGTTCAAGCAATTCTCCTGCCTCAGCCTCCAAGTAGCTGGGATTACAGGTGGGTACCACCATGCCTGGCTAATTTTTGTACTTTTAGTAGAGATGGGGTTTTGCCGTGTTGGCCAGGCTGGTCTTGAAATCCTGAACTCAGGTGATCGGCCCACCTTGGCCTCCCAAAATGTTGGGATTACAGGCGGGCGTGAGCCACTGTGCCAGGCCTCAGGTATCTTTTTATTGTACTTGTTTGCCGTTGTATAACTTCTTTGATGAGTTTGTGTTTAAATCTTTTACATGTTTTTTAATTAAGTTTTTTGCTTTCTTAATTCAGTTTTGAAAGTTCTTTAGGCCAGGTGCAGTGACTCATGCCTGTAATCTCTGCACTTTGGAAGGCTGAGGCAGGTGGCTCACTTGAAGTCAGGAGTTCGAGACCAGCCCAGCCAACATAGTGAAACCCCGTCTCTACTAAAAATAACCAGGTGTGGTAGCACACGCCTGTAATCCAGCTATTCAGGAGGCTGAGATGGCAGAATTGCTTGAACCTGGGAGGTGGAAGTTTGCAGTGAGCCGAGATTGTGCAACTGCACCCCAGCCTGGGTGACAGAGTGAGACTCTCAAAAAAGGAAAAAGAAAGTTCTTTATATTCTGGATACAGATTTATCAGACACATGATTTGCAAAGTTTTTTTTCCCAGTCTTTGGAGTGTCTCTTCATTCTCTTAAAG